CCATTCCTTCCTTTCCTGAAGACTTCAGGTAGGACAGAGCAGAAGAGTCATTTATGTTGATAGGGAGAACCAGACTGGCCTAAAGCAGGGTGTTTGGGCCTCCCAAAGTGCTGGGATTACAGGTGTGAGCCATCGCGCCCGGCCCAGGGTCCCAACACCCTTAATACTTTAAGTTCTGGGATACATGTGCAGAACGTGCAGGTTTACTGCCAAACAAAGCATTAGGAGTTCTCTTATGAAATCGTTCAAACTTAGGAGAAGCAGAAAAAAAATCGTATCAGTACTCTCATCACCCAGGTTCAACAGTGTTCAAGCTCTTGCTACACATCATCTTTTTTCTTTTCCTTAGATTATTTTAAATGAACAGCATGTCATTTTACCCTTATTCAGTTTGAATCTCTAAGAAATACAAAAATAACCACGGTGACATTATCATCTTTATTTTCTGGTACTTCAGTCAAAATTAAAGGTAAATCTTTGGGAACCATCTATACACAGCTCATAAATTAAATTTCCCAGATTGATTTACAAATCTTTTTTATAGTTGATTTGTTCTAATCAGGATAAAAACAAGATCCAGTCATTATAAATGGTGGTTAATCTCTTCAGACTCTTTAAAAAAAATTATGAACATCATATTATAGTTTGATACATTTACCACAATTAGTGAACCAATACTGATTCATTGTTATTAGCTAAAGTCTGCACTTTATTCTGATTCCTTTAGTTCTTACCCAGTGTCCCTTTTCTATTCCAGGATCCCATCTAGGATTTCTCATCACATTTATTTTTATTTTTTTAATTTTATTTTAAGTTCCAGGATACATGTGTAGGACATCCTGGTTTGTTACATAGGTAAACGTATGCCATGGTGGTTTGCTGCACCTGCCAATGCATTACCTAGATATTAAGCCTTGTATGCATTTGCTATGTATCCTGATGCTCTCCCTTCCCCTACTCCTCCATCCCTAGCACATCACATTTAGTCATCATATCTGCTGAGGCTTCTCTCGCATGTGGCAGTTTCTCAAACTTACCTTGGTTTTTTGTTTTGTTTTGTTTTCTAACCTTTTTCTAGGATCTCCTTTCCTTGTTTCTGATGACCTTGACACTTTTGAAGATTACTGGTCAGTTATTTTGTAAACTGTCCTTTAGTTGAGATTTGTGTGATATTTTTCTTAAGAGACTCATGTTATTGATTTTGGGGAGAAAGACCATAGAGGTAAAGTGCCATTCTCATCACATCATATCAAGGATTCATGCTATCAACATGACTTACTCCTGTTGATATTAATCTTGATCTCCCAGGTGAGGAGGTGTTGCCAGCTTTCTCCACTGGAAAGCTGTTCTTTTTTCCCCCTTCTCCATATTATCCTCTTTTGGAAGGAAGTCATTATTGCAAGGCCCACACTTAAGGAATGGAGAGTTATATCAGTATGGACTTGTGGATATTTATTTTATGACTTGCATTACAATCTAATACTACTTTTTTTTTTTTCCCTCAGATTGTTCCAGCTTTGGCCATTAGGAGCTCTTTCAGTTGATTCATGTGTCCCTTTGACATACCCCCATCATTTTTGGTTTTGTGTTTGTTTTTTAAGCACTTCCTTTCTTTTTCTGGCACTCTTAAGATGCTCCAAATTCATCTTCTATATAAGATGCTCCAAATTCATCTTTACTCTTTGCCCTAGCCATGTAATTAGCCATTTTATCTAGGAGCCCTGGTTCCTACTATTGGAGAATGGTATTAGAAGCCAAGATCTAGGTTTGTGCTTATTGCTACTAGGGGGGTAAGTGTGCTTATTGCTACTAGGGGGGTCATTGTACTGAGCCAGCACGGCAGGGAGATATATGTGTGTATACTGTGTATATACACATATCTATACACATTTCTATATATAACTATATTATAGAATTCATGAAATGTCATAAACTCCTGAGTGTATACTGATGTCTCCAGCTCTAATCCATTACCACATAGACCACACTGGCCTTTATCTTCTCATTCCAACAGTGAGAAACTTAGCTCCCACTATCAGCTATCCATCTACTTCATTGTTCAATTTCGGTATGATGTGTGGTAGTTGTATTCATCTTCTAGGGCTGCTATAATAAATGATCACGAACTTAGTGGCTTAAAACAGAAATTACTCTTTTCACAGTTCTAGAAACTAGAATTCCAAAATCAAGAGGTAAAAAATATGGAAGAAAAAGAAAACAGAATAGAGCATAAAACAGATGTAGGACATGGTCAAAAGTTCTAGCAGAGTATAGTTGAAGTCCCAGAAAAGAAAGAGAGAGAAAATAGAACAGAAGCAATAATTGAAAAAATAGTTGACAAGGACACTACTAATCTGGTGTAAAACAACCTATGGTTTCAAGAAAGTCAGCAACCCCAAGTAGGGCAAACAGAAAACCACACCAGACCGGGCAACAGTGATTCACGCCTGTAATCCCAGCACTTTGGGAGGCGAAGTCAGGCAGATCACTTGAGGTCTGGAGTTCAAGACCGACCTGGCCAACATGGTGAAATCCAGTCTCTACTAAAAATACAAAAAAAAGCCAGGCATGGTGGCTCATGCCTATAATCCTAGCTACTCAGGGGGCTGAGGCAGGAGAATCACTTGAACCCAGGAGGCGGAGGCTGCAGTAAGCCAAGATTGTGCCATTGCACTCCAGCCTAGGTAACAGAGTGAGACTGTCTCAAAAAAAAAAAAAGGCCAGGTGCAGTGACTCACGCTGGGAGGCCGAGGCAGGCAGATCACGAGGTCAAGAGATGGAGACCATCCTGGCCAACATGGTGAAACTGGTCTCTACTGAAAATACAAAAATTAGCTGGGCATGGTGGCGTGCGCCTGTAGTCCCAGCTACTCTGGAGGTTGAGGCAGGAGAATTGCTTGAACCCTGGAGGCAGAGGTTGCAGTAAGCCGAGATCACACTACTACACTCCAGCCTGGCTGACAGAGTGAGACTCTGTCTCAAAAGAAAAAGAAAGCCACACCTAAGCACACCATAGTCAAACTGAAAATCGAAGATGACGAGAAAATCTTAAAAGTAATCAAAGTAAAAAAGACATATTATAGAATGACATGTAATGACACTTTTTACTTGCTGACAGAAAAAACCTGCCAATTTAGAATTCTGATTCTGGCCAAGTTGGTGTAAAAGAGATCAGTTTATCCTCCTCCCTGAAACAAACAAGCAACCTGGACAGAATATGTGAAATAATGGATTTCTGGCATTGGACATCAGGCAGCACAGGAGTTGATTTCTGAGAGAGGGTAAACAAACAAGATGAGCCCTACAGTTACCCAGTTTACTGGCTGGAGAGAGTTTCCAGACTGCAGTACAGGAAGGGGGAATCCACACAGAACTTAGTGGTCTCCCTGAGTTGAGGAGATAGGAGTTGAAAGTCTGAGGAGGCCATGGTGCTAGAGTTCACAGCTCTCTCGTGGAGAGCTGCAGGAGAGCTGCACAGAGAGTGAACTCCAAAGATCTGTAGTACCTTTCATGTCTTCATCTGAGTATTGCACGCATGTTAGAAAGCTAGAAATAGAACCCCTTGAAAGCATTGGAGGGAATAATCCACACACAGAGGTGGGGATAGTTTTTTCTTACTAGTCATGGTAATTTCCGTAACATTGGGAAGAGTACTCAGAAGGACTTTGGCTTGGTAGTGAGGAAAATTAGTCCTAGACTAAAAACTGCTCCAATCCCACCTAACACAGCAGAAAAAAAGCTTAATAATATTGATATGAATTTAAAAATAAAATTGACAATGTCTGACATCAGTGAGGACCAATTTTCCTCACTAAGTGGGTCGGGCTGCTCCTGCCACGAACTTCTAGGTCATGTTCTATTCTGAAAAAGATGAGAATTAACCAGCTGCAGTGCAAAATGTCATGAAATGAGCCGGGTTCAGAATCTAGGCATGTGTGACTTTGATATATCTATGAGGTTTCAAAAAGAAATATCAGAAATATAAGTAGAATATGTGCCATATGAAGAAATCATAGCTTATTTATGTAACATTTAGTATCCTCATTAGCTGTTCGACTGGTTTTAGAATTCAGTATATAATCCTTGGCTCTTTGGAAATAAAATTGTATAAATGTTAATATTTATTAGATCTGAATGGTAGGTACATGGGTGTTATACTAGTCTCTGTGCTTCTGTGTTTTTTAAAATTAAACTAGTGATTTTAATTAAACTAGTGATTTATGACTGCCTAGGAATGTGGCCATTCATATCATACCTTTTCATCCATTTCCTAGGTTCCCAGTCTAAATGGGTGACTTCCCAAGATAGAGGCAGATCATTTCTCCGTCAAGTATAGAGAGACACATCCGCTCCTCCTAGAGTGTCCATAAGTATGAAGAAAATAGAAATAACTTAGAAGAGGCTGCAAAAACATTAAAGTTTGAAATTTTTTTTAGATGGGGAATAGCATTTTAATGGCAATTTAATAGTGATTTTCATGTATATCTTGATAATGTCAAAGGTATTTTGGCAGGGCAAGTTTTGGGGATCAGGGAAACACTCGTATTTGCTAAGTACCTATTATGCCGTAAACTGTACTGAGAGCTTTTTATCTGTTACCTCATTTTAATCTGTAGTCAATTTATATGCTAGACCTCATTTGCATGTTATAGATGAGGAACCCAGGGTTCTCAGGCAAAATCAGTGTCTTCAATCTCACTAATAGTACTGCCAGAATAAACTATTATAAAGTATATCATACATGATTCAGATTATAAGAAGAAACATTTACTAATGGTGAAAATTCTAAGCATTGTGGTTTCTTACCTAGAAAAATTTAGTAACTTCTTTTACTTCTCTGGAAATTTTAAGCTTTTTTTTTAATGTTGATTTAAGAATGGTCCTGCCCACAGGCAGAGGAGATAGACTGCCTGAGCTCTCAGTTTTTTTTGAATATTGTGATACTGTAAGTTGGTATTTTTATGGTCTCAGATGTGTTCAATGTATTTCCTTTTCTTAAGGTGGATAATATTAATGCAGCTGTGATGGATTTGAAAACAAAGAAGATCCGCAGTCTAAGTGAAGAGGTCAAAATAGGAGCACATGGAAAACCAGTGATTTTTCTCCATCCTAAAGACTGTGGTGGAGTCCTTGTGGAACTGGAGCAAGCTTGATTTATATTTGCAAGCAACTAAATTAATTGACCTGAAAAAGCCTATCAAATACTATCAAAATGTACTATGACATTGAGTCCTTCACTGCTTCCAACATGTAAAAGTTCACAGTTAAAAACTGAATTACAGAAAGATTATATACGTATATAAATCCATAAATATGTATATTTAATTAACAAACATATTTGTTAATTTGAATTTGAAGAAAACCTTGATTACTAATTACTTAGGGAACATTATTAAAGTCATATAGAAATAGATTATTCCTTTTCTACAATGGGGTAATTGAATGTAATGTGTTAGCTATGTACAAGGGTATGTGTGTGATGTTGGATGGATACACAAAGGAGTTATGAAAGTATATGACAATTTTGTGGCTCATATTTGGGGCAAAACTTTCTAAGAATGTTTCGAAATACTTTTTTAGAGCAAACTGTTTAAGATTAGGGAATTTTGATATCAGAATTTTTGCTCTTCAAAAACAACTCATGGTCACAGGTTCCTCAGGGTCCAGGTGTCTTGGGTGCTAGGGCTAGATGTATAGGAAGTTTTGTGGAAAACCTGGTGCATCATCCAGTGGGTGCGTAGGTGGCTGAATTATTTTTTAAATCAGTAGTAATTTGTAGAGTTAGGTATCACTTAGATGCTAGAACACCACAACAGGTCCTAGGGGAAATATACAAAATGAATAGAAATCCACTGCCAAGATGCTTACGGTTCAGTTGGGGATAGCACTACTTGAAATAAATGTAAACACTTACAAAACAACATCTGAATGAATTAAAAAGGAAGGGAAAGAGAATAGATCGCAGAGGATGGTCAGACTCAAGTATGTTAGAAACAAGTTTCAGATAAATTTCAAGGATCACAGATGGATGCATTGAATGCATAGTGGATGGAAAAATGGCTAACAAGTTCATGGATGAATGGATGTTTCGTAAATGAGAAGATATATAGACACTGAACTTGTTATGGAAGACAAGTATATCCAATTATACTTGTCATTTAAAAGTTAAAGTAAAAATTACAACATTGATGTGGTTCTTAGTGTATGTAGAGGAAATATTTTAGACAATTACATCACAGGGTGGGGGCAGTAAAAGGGACTTAAATGGTGGTTAAATATCCACATTCCATTTCAAGTGGTAGATGTTGATACTAGTAGACTGCAATAAACTGCATGTGTGTATTGCAGTCTGTAACCATTGAAAAACTATATGAAGAGATACACTTAAAAATGTAGATAAATTAAAGTGGACTACTAAAGAATGCCCAAATAACCCGCTTGAAGACAGGTAAGGGGAAACAGGAAAAAAAGGAAAACAATAAAATGACTGACCGATAACCTCACTTATCAGTAATTAGGTTCAATGTAAATGCTCTAAACACACCAAGATTGTGAGAGTGAATTTAAAAACCTGACCCAACCAAATGCTAAATATAAGAAACTCAAAATACCGGTAAATTAGCAATGATTTATCAGTAAAAATCAATAAACTAAGAGTAAAAGGATAGAAATAGATACACCTTGCAAACGCTAATTCAGAGAAAGCTGGAGTGAATTACTATCAGACAAGGTAAACTTTAGGACAAAAGAAAATTGCCAGGGACAAAGAAGTAAATTACATAATGATGAAGAGGTCCGATCACAAAAAGACCGCAGGTGTGCATTAACCAAATAACACAGCTGCAAAGTATACGATCTAAGAATTGATAGAACTAAAAGGAAAATATAGACCAATTTACAGTTTACAGTTGGGGACTTCAACACCCCTTGTTTAGTAATGGATAAACCCACTAGACAAAAAGCAAGTACATGGGAGAACTGAACAGTCCCATCAGCCAATATGTAATACACATTTTTTGAGCATTTATGGGACATTCATCAAGATAGACCATATCTTGGGTTATGAAACTAACACATTTAAAATAATTGAAACATAAAATATGTGACCATAAATGAATCAAACTAGAAATCAGTAACAACAGAAAAATCTCACCAAACCTGTAAGTTGTCAAAGAAGTAGCCTCAAGAGAAGTAAAATACATCCTGAGCTGAATGAACTTTGGAAATAATCATTTTTTATAAAATTTATTTATTGCTTTAATCCATAAATCAATAATAAAATTTTGCTTTCATAAGAAGAATGAAATGTGATCACAAGAAATGCAAAACAGTATGTTTGGTAGATGCTAGTGTTAGCACCCATCCATCATTTCTTCTTTAATAGAATTCTGACTTGGTTAGATTCCCATCCTTGTCATCTCCCACACAGGTAAAATTCTCAGAGCCCCAGGGTTAGACTGAAATTACATCACCCTTGCCAGTGATGGGTTTAATGATGTGGTTCAAAACTACATATGGTTATGTAATTCATATGTAGACTAAAAGCATGAAGAAAGGTTTTCTAGAGACATCTGGAAATGTTCTTTCCCACATCTAGATGAGAACTATAAGTCAGCCTCTCTCCCACCAGAGTTGAAGAAGGAAAACAGGTAATTTGGTTGCTACCAGCAACTATCCAACAACTATGGGACAAACAAAAACACAAAAACCTTAGGATAATGGTAATTCTGGTTGGCAGAGTAGAGAGACAGAAAAAAAAAATTTTCAATGACACTTTTTAAAAAATTAATTCATTGACTGGGATTGGTGGCTCACTCCTGTAATCTCAGCACTTTGGAAGGCCATGGCAAGTGGATTCCCTGAGCTTAGGAGTTCAAGACCAGCTTGGGCAATATGGCTAAACCTTGCCTCTACAAAAAATAGAAAAATTAGCTGGGCATGGTGGTATGCACCTGTAGTCTCAGCTACTCAGGAGGCTGAGGTGGGAGGATCACTTGAGCCTGGGAGGTCAAGGCTGCAGTGAGCTGTGATTGTGCCACTCCAGCCTGGGTGACAGGGTGAAACCCTTTCTCAAAAACAAAAATCATTTATTGAATAACAAGTTTAATTTATCAGTGGGCTTTTTAAAATTAAGAAACTTCACTAATAAAAATTTTTAAAGATAAATAACAATTATCCAGAATGTTTACATAATTTTAAAAGCTTGATATGGATTATTTGAACATTAAAAACAATAGGCCAGGCATGGTGGCTCACACCTGTAATCCCAGCACTTTGGGAAGCCGGGGTGGGGTAATCCCAGCACTTTGGGAAGCCGAGGTGGGTGGATCACCTGAGGTCAGGAGTTCGAGCCCAGTCTGGCCCATACAGTGAAACCCCAACTCTACTAAAAATAGAACAAATTAGCCGGGCATGGTGGTGGGTGCCTGTAATCGCAGCTGCTCGGGAGGCTGAGGCAAGATAATTGCTTGAACCTGGGAGGTGGAGGTTGCAGTGAGCCAAGATCGCGCCACTGCATTCCAGCCCAGGCAACAGAGCAAGAAACTGTCTCAAAAAATAATAATTCTTGTTATTTATATACTTCAATCAGTGCCTTAGCCATGTCTGTTTGTAACACCTTATTGCATTTTCCTGAAAATTTTATTTTTTTCAGTATAGTCATTTAATTTTTTTAAATAAAATTGTGTACAGTTTTCTTCAAATTACACTTTATAGTTTGCATATTGGAAATTGTTGATATATCTAATTGACTCTTCTCTATAGACAATATATTCTCCCTCCCCCATCCCTCTTTTTTTGAGATGAGATTTTGCTCTGTCACCCAGGCTGGAGTACAGTGGCGTGATCATAGCTCACTGCAGCCTCAAACTCCTAGGCTGAAGCAATCCTCCCACCTTAGCCTCCCAAATAGCTGGGACTATAGTTGTGCACCACCACACCCAGCTGATTTTTAAATTTTTTGTAGAGATAGTGTCTTGTTATGTTGCTCAGGTTGGTCTCAAATTTCTGGCCTCAAGCAATCCTCCCACCTTCCAAAGGGCTGGGATTATGGGTTTGAGCCACCATGCCAGGCCTGTTTCTTCCTTAAATGTTTGGTAGAATTCACCAATGAACCCATCTGAGCCTGGTGGTTTCTGTTTTGGAAGGTTGCTAATTATTGATTCAATTTCCTTAGTAGATAGAAGCCTATTCAAGTGGCCTTACTTCTTTTGTGAGTTTTGGTGGATTGTGATTTTCAAAAATTGGTCCATTTTATCTAGGTTATCAAATTTGTGGGCATAGACTTGTTCATAGTATTCCTTTACTATGCTCATGGGGTCTGTAGTGATAGCCCTTTTTATATATCTGGTAATTTATGTTGTCTCTCTTACTTCCTTTTTTTAATTTTTGTGTCTCTCTTTTTCTTAGCCTAAATAGAGGCTTATAAATTTTGCTAATCTTTTCAAAGAATCAGCTGAAAACTGATTATTGATTTCTTGTTTTTACTTTCATTGATTTCTGTTCTGATTTTTATTATTTATTTCCTTCTGCTTGCTTTGTGTTTAATTTGCTCTATTTTTTTCTAGTTTTCTAAGTAGAAGCTTAGACTATTAGTTATTTTAGATTTTTTCTTCTTCTTTTTTTTTTTTTTTTCTTTGAGTTTAATTTGCTCTATTTTTTTCTAGTTTTCTAAGTAGAAGCTTAGACTATTAGTTATTTTAGATTTTTTTCTTCTTCTTTTTTTTTTTTTTCTTTTTGAGACAGGGTCTCACACCAGTTGCCCCCCAGGCTGGAGTGCAGTGGCATGATCTCAGCTCACTGCAGCCTTGACCTGTCGAGCTCAGGTGATTCTCCCTCCTCAGCCTCCCGAGTAGCTGGAACTACAGGCATGCACTACCACACCTGGCTAATTTTTTGTATTTTTAATGGAGACAGGGTCTCCCCCATGTTGCCCAAGCTGATCTTGAACTGGACTCAAGCAATCTGCCTGCCGTGGCCCCCCAGAGTGCTGGGATTACAAGTGTGAGCCACTGCTCCTGGCCTAGATTTTGTTTTCTAATATATCCATGCAATACTATAAATTTCCCTCTAATCTCACTGCTTTTGGTGTTCCCGCAAGTTTTGGTAAGTTGCATACTCATTTAGTTCAGAATATTTTTTTCATATCTCTTGAAATGTCTTCTTTTACCCATGTGTTATTTAGAAGTGTCTTGTTTAATCTTCAAGTATTTGGGGATTTTGTAGTTCTATTTTTGTTTTTTATTTCTAGTTTAACGCCACTGTGGTCTGAGTGCATGCATGATATATAATTTTTATTGTTTTAAACTTGTGAAGGTGTATTTTGTGGCCTAGAATGTGGTCTGTTTGATGTATGCTCCATATAAGCTTAAGAAGAATGTGTATTCTGTAATTGGATGAAGTAGTCTCTAGATGTCAATTATATCCAGTTGATTGATGGTATTGTGGAGTTCAGCTGTGTCATGCTGATTTTCTGCCTGCTGGGTCTATTTCTTTTTTTCTTTTTTTTTTTTAAGATGGAGTCTTGCTCTCTCACCCAGGCTGGAATGCAATGGTGTGATCTTGGTGCACTGCAAGCTCCACCTCCCTGGTTCAAGCAATTCTCCTGCCTCAGCCTCCCCAGTAGCTGGGATTGCAGGTGCCTGCCACCATGCCTGGGTAATTTTTGTACTTTTAGTGGAGATGGGTTTCACCATGTTGGCCAGGCTGGTCTCGAACTCCTGACCTCGGGTAATCTGTCCACCTTGGCTTCCCAAAGTGCTGGGAATACAGGCGTGAGCCACCGTGCCCGGGCTCTGTCTATTTCTGACAGGGATATTGAAGTCTCTAACTGTAATAGTGGATTCATCTATTTCTTATTGATGTTGTATTAGCTTTTGCCTCACATATTTTGATGCTCTGTTATTAGCCACATACACTTTAAGGATTCGTTGTGTATTCTTGGAGAATTGACCCCTTTTATCATTCTGTGAAGATCCTCTTTATCCCTAGTAATTTTACGTGCTTGCTGTCTGTTCTGTCTGAAATTAATATAGCTATTCCAGCTTTCTTTTGATTAGTGTTAGCATGGTATATTTTCTCAATCCTTTTAATTTATGGTTGTCTTTATATTTAAAGACATACAAATGGCCAACTGGTTTATGTCTCGTAGACAGCATATAGTTGGGTCTTATTTTTTGATCCCCTCTGACTTAAAATCTCTTTTAACTGGTATATTTAAGCCATTAAAATTTAAAATGATTACTAACAAGGTTGGATTAACATCTACTATATTTATTATTGTTTTCTATTTATTTCTCTTGGATTTTTTTTTTTTTTTTTCTGAGACAGGGTCTTGCTCTGTCACCCAGGCTGGAGTGCAATGGCACACTCATGGCTCACTGTAGCCTTGAACTTCTGGGCTCAAGGGGTCCTCCTGTTTCGGCCTGCCAAATTGCTGGGATTACAGGTGTAAACCATCACACCTGGCCTTGTTTTTGTTTTTGTCTTCCACAATTTTTTTGCCATTTGTGATTTTAATTGAACACTTTATATGATTCCATTTTTTTTTTCTTTTTAAAAGTGACTGCCCTAGAGTTAGTAACATA